GCTGTTTACAAGAAATTCATTTTAGACCTAAAGACACCTGCAGATTGAAAGTAAGGAGATGGAGAGCCATCTATCATTACAATGGTCATCAAAAGAAAGCCAGAACAGCCATATTTATATTAGATAAACTAGATTTTGAACCAAAGACTGAAACAAGAGATGAAGAGGGACACTGTATCATAATTAAGGGGTCTATCCACCAGGAAGATCTAACACTGTAAATATTTATGCCAACATGGGAGCACCCAAATATATAATTCTATGAATCACAAACATAAAGATACTCACTGATGATAATACCATAATAGTAGGGGACTTCAACACTCCACTTACAGCAGTGGAAAGATCATCTAAGCAGAAAATCAAGAAGGAAACAATGGCTTTGAAAGACACACTGGACCAGATGGACTTAACAGACATATTCAGAACATTTCATCCTAAAGCAGAATACACATTCTTCTCAAATGCACATGGAACATTCTCCAGAATAGATCACATACTGGGTCACAAGTCAGCCCTCAACAAGCACAAAAAGATCAAGATCATACCTTGCATATTTTTAAACAACACTATGAAACTTGAAATCAACCACAAGAAAAAATTTGGAAAGACCATGAATACTTGGATATAAAAAACACCCTACTAAAGAATAAATGGGTTAACCAAGAAATTAAAGAGGAAATTAAAAAGTACACAGAAGCAAATGAAGATGAAAACACAACAGCCCAAGACCTCTGGGATGCAGCAAAGGCAGTTGTAACAGGGAAGTATATAGCAATCCACACCTTCCTAAAGAAGGAAGAAAGGTCTCAAATACACAACCTAACCTTACACCTAAAAGAGCTACAAAGAGAACAGCAAATAAAGCCCCAAATCAGCAGAAGCTGTTAAATAATAAAGATCAGAGCAGAAATCAATGATACTGAAATCAAAAAAACAGTAGAACAGATCAATGAAACCAGGAGCTGGTTCTTTCAAAGAATGAACAAAATTGATAACCCCCTAGCCAGACTGATCAAAAAGGGAAAAAAAGGGCCCAAATAAAATCACAAATGAAAGAGGAGAGATCACAAACACCGCAGAAATACAATCGTAAGAGAATATTATGAGCAATTATATGCCAACAAATTGGGCAATCTGCAAGAAATGGACAAATTCCTAGAAACATATAAACTACCAAAACTGAAACAGGAAGAAATAAAAAATTTGAACAGACCCATAACCGATAAAGAAATTGAATCAGTAATCAAAAATCTCCCAATAGACAAGATTCCAGGGCCAGATGGCTTTCCAGGGAAATTCTACCAAACATTTAAAGAAGAGTTAACCTCCATTCTTTTGAAGCTGTTCCAAAAAAATAGAAATGGAAGGAAAACTTCCAAACTCATTCTACAAGGTTTTGATTCCAAAACCAAAGACCCCACTAAAATGGAGAAGTACAGATCAATTTCCCTGATGAACACGGATGTAAAAATTCTCAACAAGATCCTAGCAAACCGGATCCAACAATACATTAAAAGAATTATTCGACATAATCAAGTGGGATTTATTCCTGAGATGCAAGGCTGGTTGAGTATCTGCAAATCAATCAATGTGATACATCACATTAATAAAGAAAAGGTAAGAACCACATGATTCTCTCAATAGATGCAGAAAACGCATTTGACAACATATAGCATCCTTTCTTGATAAAAACCCTCAAGAAAGGAGAGTTAGAAGGATCACACCTCAAGATCATAAAGGCCATATATGAAAGACCCACTGCTAACATCATCCTCAGTGGGAAAAAAAGAGCTATCCCTCTATAGTCAGGAAAACGACAAGGATGTCCACTCTCACTACTGTTATTCAATATAGTGTCAGAAGTCCTAGCCTCAGCAATCAGACAACACAAAGAAATAAAAGGCATCCAAATCGGCAAGAAGAAAGTCAAACTTTCATTCTTTGCAGACAATATGATACTCTATGTGGAAAAACCAAAAGACTCCACTTTAAAAACTGCTAATCTCCACTAAAGAACTGATAATACATGAAATTCAGCAAAGTCGCAGGATATAAAATCAATGAACAAAGCGGCTGCATTTCTATACATCAATAATGAAGCAACAGAGAAATTAAGGAATGAACCCCATTTACAATTGCACCAAAACCCATAAAATACCTAGGAATAAACTTAACCAAAGAGGTGAACAATCTATACACTGAAAACTATAGAAAGCTTATGAAAGAAATTGAAGAAGACACAAAGAATTGGAAAAACATTACATGCTTATGGACTGGAAGAATATTGTTCAAATGTCGACAGTACCCAAAGTAATCTACATATTCAATGCAATCCCTAACAAAATAGTAACATCAGCATTCTTCACAGAGCTAGAACAAACAATCCTAAAATTTGTATGGAACCAGAAAAGACCCCAAATAGCCAAAGCAATCCTAAGAAACAAAACCACATAGCTGGAGGGATCACAATTCCAGACTTCAAGCTGTATTACAAAGCTGTAATCATCAAGACAGTATGGTATTGGCACAAAAACAGACACACAGATCACTGGAACTGAATAGAGAACCCAGAAATGAACCCACGAAAGTATGGCCAACCAATCTCTGACAAAGCAGGAAAGAATATCCAGTGGAAAAAAGACATCAGCAAATGGTGCTGGGAAAACTGGACAGTGACATGCAGAAGAATGAACCTGGAGCACCTGCTTACACCATATACAAAAATAAACTAAAAATGGATGAAAGACCTAAACCTAAGACAGGGAGCCATCAAAATCCTAGAGGAGAAAACAGGCAGCAGCCTCTTTGACCTTAGCCACTTCTTACTTGACACGTCTCCAGAGGCAAGGGAAACAAAAGCAAAAATGACCTATTGAGAGCTCATCAAGATAAAAAACCTCTGCACAAAGATGGAAACAATCAGCAAAACTAAAAGGCAACTGATGGAATGGGAGAAGGTATTTGCAAATGACATATCAGATAAAGGGTTAGTATCCAAAATCTATGAAGAACTTACCAAACTCAATACCCAAAAAACAAATAATCCAGTGAAGATGTGTGTAAAAGACACGAATACTTTTCCAACAAAGACATCCAGATGGCTAACAGGCACATAAAAAAATGCTCAACATCACTCATCATCAGAGAAAGAGAGATCAAAACCACAATGAAATGCCACCTTACACCTGTCAGAATGGCTAAAATGAACAATTCAGGCAACATTAGATGTTGGCAACGATGCAGAGAAACGGGAACAGTTTTGCACTGCTGGTGAGAATGCAAACTGGTGCAGCCACTCTGGAAAACAGTATGGAGTTTCTAAAAATAGAACTACCCTACGACCCAGCAATTACACTACTAGGTATTTATCCAAGGATACAAGAGTGCTGATCCAAAGGGGCACATGTACCCCAATGTTTACAGCCGCACTATCAACAATAGCCAACATATGGAAAGAGCCCAAATGTCCACTGACTGACGAATGGATAAAGAAGATGTGGTATATGTGCTATATATATATATATATATATATATACATATATATATATACACACACACACACACACACACACACACAATGGAATATTACTCAGCAATCCAAAAGAATGAAATTTTGCCATTCATAACAATGTGGATGGAACTAGAGTGCATTAGGCTAAGCAAACTAAAAAAGAGAAAGACAAATATGTTTTCACTCATATGTGCAATTTAAGATACAAAAGAGATGAATATAAGGGAAGGGAAGCAAAAATAATATAAAAACAGAGAGGGAGACAAACCATAAGAGACTCTTAGATACATAGACCAAACTGAAGGGTGCTGGTGGGGTGTTGGGTGGGAAGAAGGACTATGGGGTGAGAGGCATTAAGGAGGACACTTGCTGAGATGAGCACTGAGTGTTGTATGTAAGTGATGAATCACCAAATTGTACTCCTGAAACCATTATTACACTATATGTTAACTAACTTGGATTTAAAATTAAAAATAAATAAAATTATTTTATCAAAGTTAAAAAAAACAAAAAAAATTTTGTAACTATGTATGGTGATGGATGTTAACTAGATTTCTGTGGTGATCATTTTGCAATATATACAAATATTAAATCTTTACCCTATTCACCTGGAATAAAGGTCAATAATACTTTAAAAATTTTTTCTCAGAAAGCTAAGTATCTGGAAATTTTAACATAAGATATGAGCTTCATTCAACTAACTTTTCCCAAGGTCTGGGTTAAAAAACTACGTTCCCAACCTCCATCCACCTCACAAGGTATATACCTAATATATACAGAAGTTGGTATCACTTTTCCCATTCAACTAGAACTTGGGAGAAGGGCAGAGGTAGAGAAACCGAATTTGTTTTGGAACTTCCTCAAGCTCTTCAGGTAAAAGTCAAAAGAAAATAATTCATATTAAAATTTACTATAATAGTACCCTTTTTATTAAGAACTTTAGCCAAAAATTTCTGTAATTTTCCCTAAAGGATCCAGAGTGAAAAGAATATACAGCAGATCTTTGAACCACATTGGTTTAAACTGCATGGGTCCACTTATCCATGGATTTTTTTTTTATATAAATACAATACAGTACTATATATGTATTTTCTCTTCCTTGTGATTCTTCTAATGAAATTTTTTCTCTAGCTTATGTTATTATAAGGATAGAGTATATAACACATATAAAATACAAAATACTTGCTATTTGACTGTTATGTTATATATTAATTATTTTATCAGTAAGGCATCCAGTCAACATTAGGCTACTAGTAGTTAAGTTTTTGCAGGAGTCAAAAGTAGTACATAAATTTTCAACTGCGCAGGGGTCGGCACCTCAAACCCCTGGATTGTTCAAGAGTCAACTGTACTTTGTTTTGAAAATAATATTTCAGACTATCTGTAAAGTCGATAGTACACTGAAATTGTTTTCTCCAAATAAGGAATACCAAATTCTTAACTACTAATTCTCAACATTATCTCCATATCCTAACAAATTACTTACTTCAGGTCCTGTAGAAGGTCCTTTGCATTAAGCATGGTTATTAAAGAGGTGGTAGCTGCAGGAATTATGATAATGGGTGTTCGAGATCCTGTAAAGACAAAATTTTAAAGGTACCAAATATGCTGTTATTATCATTAAAAGACATAGACTTGCCCAATTAAAACTTTAAAGTTTGTAAATTTATAATCTTAGTTCCTTTGACCTAAAAAAATATTTTAAGTCAGCAGTAATATTCAAAATATTTGGTAATGAGTATGACCTGAGCACTGACTACCAAGCACAAACATTTGGTGTAACTTCAGAGTCTCAGCTTTCATTTTGTAATCTAGCTTATTTACTTTTACTTTTTAAAATAAATTTAGAATCAATAGGCACAACCTCACCTTTCTTCTGATTTGGGGGAGGTCTTGCTTGAGAAACTGTTAAGAGGGGAAAAAACTGAGTGTTAGAAACATCGCATTTTTATTTTCAAAATACAAATACAAATAAAATAAGTAAATAAAGTAAAAAATAAAAATACAGATATGGCCTAAAACTTATTTGTATTTACATATGACCAGTTATAAAATTTTAAAATATACTGAATCTTCTCAAATAACCTCAATCTTCTCAAATAATTTACTTCTCTGTTTCACAAAAACATTAAAATGTCCTACCAATACTCAACATTCTGTAGTAACAATGAAAGTGGATATACTACATTGCTGGACACTGAGTATCTACATTAATGGATTTTAAAGTCTAGCAAAGGAAGCAAAAAGTTTAATTAACTGATAACCAATGTAATAAATGCAAAAACAGAATATTACAAGAAAACGAAACACTGTGGGAAGGACTGGGAGGGGAAAATGTGCTTAAACATTTGGGAGGAAAAAGGTATTAATGGGAACTAAAATATTTCTTACATTTTTGTTACATTTGTTTTTTGTTTATTAGAAGAAAACATTATAGGCAATGAGTCATGTGAAGGCCTATATTATTTTGAACTGCCTATATTTATTAATAATTGTGAATGTGTTATAAAAACACAAATATTCATCTTCTCATTATTTGTATATGTAATAGACTTTATAATGCACAGAAACATTTGTTGGTATAATAAGAGTAGTATCAGACTGGTTCAAGATTAATATATTTTAGAATTTGAAAATGCTGTACATTCAATTTTCAGTATTTACATATATAATAAAAAACATATTGACTGCTTTCTATGTGTCATGTACTGTTAGAAATTCCATTTTTTAAAACCATAAAAATAAATAAAAATTTAGGAGATTTAAAATTCTAACTCAACATCAGTTGTTAAAAACAGATTACCATTTTTAAAGGGATACATGCATTTTTGGAATATGTTCTATTTTAAAAGCAGTAAAATTCTACATTTTAATTTAATACTTTGTAATAGCTATTTATTGTGGTAAACTTCTATGGAGTCCAGCAGTAGGATTCTTCCAGTCATATAAAGCAGAGAAAGATATATATAAATAGAAGTCCACACACATACATATTTATTATAGTGTCCTCATCTCTTCTTGCTGAGAAAAAAAACCCTAAAACTTTCTTAAATCATTTTTAGAACTAGGATTCACAGATACACTTGATTAGCTAGACAGCATCATTTGGAATATAATACAGTCTCAGTAAATATCTGGTATTTGTTAGAGGAATAAAGCCATGGCAGGATGGATAGAATACATGGATAAACAGGAGACAAGAGTTGCTAGGAGAATGACTAAGGGGGAACAACAAAAAAGAAATCTTTGAAACAACACTGGTTTGGTAAAGAAGCTCACGATGGACTCCTGAATTTAGGAAAAAATTCACTAAAATCAAGGCTGAGAAGATGTGATGTAAGAAAAAGACAAAATATAAAAGCTCACATATTAAAAATAAAGTCTAAAGACTTGATTAAAAAAAAGCTACAAAAAAAATATAAATAGGTTCCCTAGTAAAGTAAGGACCAAGGTACAGACACTGTGACAAACTTGATTTTTATTTTTTGAAAGAGAGAGAGAGAGAGAGAGAGAGAAAGCACAAGCAGGAGAGGGGCGGGAGAGAGGAGTGAGCAATAATCCCAAGCAGACTCAACACTGCCAGCCACGGAGCCCGATGCAGGGCTCAAACTCACCAAAGGTGAGATCATGACCTGACTGGATGTCAAGACACTTAACTGACTGAGCCACCCAGGTACCCCTATGATAGACATAATTCAAAGTGAGAGGGGGAGGAAAGTGTAGAATAACACCAGTCCATATGGCAAAGTGATTAAGAGCAAGAATCTGTACTCAGATGATCTCAATTCCTATCCCCATTTTGCCACTTCCTAGGCAAATTACCCTAGCAAGTCGAATTGAGAGACTGCTCAGTCTCGGTTGTCCTCAACTATAAAACAGTAATAATAGTCTCTATATCCTGAAACTGCTGTGAGAATCTTAAAGACAACAATGCACCTTAACTCCTTAATCAGGTCTTGGCGCATGCATATTCAATATTTAGTGAACCCTGCGGCTACAGCTAAATGCTTAATGCTACTGCTCCTGGTACCACTAACACTACCTACCACTGCACTTTAGCAAATGCCATGACTGAAAATGTACGAGCTGAGAGTAAGTAATTATTATTGTTATGTTTGATTTCAAATATAATTACAGTCTTCACTTAAATATTCAGAGCCTTATGTACAAGGCACTCTTATTACTATAAATAAAACAGAAGTAATCCCTGCCCTCAAAGACTCTCCAGTGAAGTAGGGGAGCCAGAGCATGAACAAGAAAGCACACAAACACACATAAACAAATTTGAACATGTGATATTAAAGAGCAAAAGGAACATATCCTGACAGAAAAGTATCCTTTGGCTAGAATGCTTACAGAAAGCCTCTCAAAGGAAGTGGCATTTAAACTAAGATTTCAAGAATGAAAAGGAGCCAACTTGCAAAGAACAAGTGTCCGAATGGTCCAGACAAGAGGTAGGAATGTGAGCAAATGCCGAAGACAGGAAGAAACTGCTGTGCATAGGGAACTGCACATGTGCACACTACAGGGACAAAAGAAAGAGTGGCGGGAGATGAGGTTAAAAATACACGCAGGAACCAATTTATATAAGGCCTCTAGGTAATGTTAGGTTTGTATTCAAGTGCCACTGAAGAACTCTGTAACTTTTAAGGCAATATGTGACATAGTTTGATTTTCATGTCACATCTTCTGTAAAAGAAAAACAATAGATTTAGGTAAGAGATCAAAAGGGGACACGCATGAAAGTAGAAAGCTCAGTCAGGACTCGTAACAACAGTACACAAAGGTGCTACTCAAATTAAGTGTAAGGGGGTTTAAGTAAGGGGCTAAGTAAGGGGGTTTTTTTAAGTAAGGTTTTAAGTAAGGTTTTTTTAAGTAAGGGGTTAAGTAAGGGGTTTTTTTTGTTTGCTTTTTTAATTTCCAATCCAAGGTCAAGTGAATAAAATGCAGTAACAATGAATTGCTAGAAAATGATCATGCACGTGGATGTTGTCACAGTATCATTCTACCAATTTCTATATGTATCTTGTTGGGAACCAGAAATAGGTCATGGACTTCATGATGTACTGGTATAGAGAAATGTAATTCATGTAAACAAATGAGTTGTGGGAGAAGATAAAGAGACAAATTTGAAACACAGAAAAAGTAAATTTGACAGAAGTCAGTGACATATTAGATAAGAGCAATAAGCAAATGTGAAGAGTGAAGGATGAAGAATAACTCCTGAATTTTTTGCTTAAGAAACATAGATGATGGTGGTACCACGTATTCATGAAGAAGATATCCGAGAACAGAGATTTTACACCAGTTTTAAGATGCCTATGGCATATCCAAATATTAAAGAGACAGTTTGTATAAGATACCAAAGGTAAGAAGAGATGTCTGAATTGAGAATACAAATTTGAAAATCATCGGCACACAGATTAAAACTATGGAATGAGATAGTACGATCAGCACAATCTGTTGAAATTACACGAGAGGCTAATTCTCTCTCCCAAAATCACATGTAAGAAGATAAACCAGAGCTACGGGCCACCTATCCATTTCAGGAAATCTATGAAATAAAAGTAGAAAATTAAAGCTGGAGAAGTGAAGTATGCAATGTAAATGCATTAGAAAGAGGCAGGAAGCAGGGATATGTGCAAAAGATTTAATCTAAAAAGAAAATGACAGGGGCATCTGGGTGGCTCGTTCAGTTAAGTGTCTGACTTTGGCTCAGGTCACAGTCTCATGGTTTGTGAGTTTGAGGCCCACATCAGCTCTCTGCTGTCAGCTCAGAGCCCGCTTCGGATCCTCTGTTCCCCTCTCTCTCCACCCCTCACCCATTTGCGCTCTTGCGCTCTCTCAAAGTCAAAGTCGCTCTCTCAAAAATAAATAAGCATTAAAAAAAGATAGTTAAAAAGAAAATGACAGTCAGGTACAGAACTATGGCTCATCAAAGGCTTCTCCTCTCTAATCCACTGAAAAACATGTACTTTTTGTTAGTTATGTTCTCTAAAGAAATGTTTAGAAGTTGGGAATAACTTTAGACACTTTTGAATATTAAATTTACCCAGGGACTTGCCTGGCACAATTAGTGCCCAATAAATACATGGTGAAAGAATAATAAAAAGGAAACAATAATCAACAATGGAATTGTATACTTGAGCTACCACACTGGAGAGGGAAAAAATAAATGATTCAAATTCTACCTACAAGTAACAGTTATTATAACTGCATAATTGCTATCTATAGCCTACTACACTGTCAGATATGTTTTGAGCATTCTTATTTTTTTCAATTTTAAAAAGATAACATAATGAACATGTCATATATGACACAATATCCCTTCAAAATTGGGTAGCATCAGAGCACCTGGGTGGCTCAGTTGGTTAAACATCTCTCAATTTTGGCTAGGTCATGATCTCAGAGCTCCTAACCTCAAGCCCCAAGTCAGGTTCTGCGCTGACAGTGTGGAACCTGGTTGGGATTCTCTCTCTCCCTCCCTCTCTGCTCCTCCCCTACTCGTGCTTTCTCTCTCTCTCTCTCTCTTTCTCTCTCTCTCAAAACAAACTTAAAAAAATCTTTAGTAAAAAAAATTAGGCAGCATTCCATAAGCAAACACAATAAACATTTCTACAGCAGAAGAAAAATTCACTAATCTAGACAAACATGACAAACTGCTTAGCATCCACTCAAACCAGGTTTTATTGATGCTAAAAACTTATAAAAATTTTTTTCTTTTATTTTTATTTACTTTATTTTTTGAGAGAGAGGACGGGGAAGAGCATAAGGAGAGGGAGAGAATATATATATATATTTTTTTTTTGAGAGAGAGAGAGAGAGAGCGCGCGCGCATGCAGTGGAGAGGGGTAGAGGGAGAGAGAGATAATCTCAAGCAGGCTCCACACTCAGCGAGGAGCCCAACGCGGTGCTCAATCCCACAACCCTGGGACAATGACTCCATACCAAACCAAAAGTTGGACACTCAACTGACTAAGCTACCGAGAGAGAGAGAGAGAGAGAGAGAGAGAGAGAGAGAGAGAGAGAGAGAGAGTCTTAAGCAGGCTCCATTCCCAGCATGGAGCCCACCCAGTGTGGAGCCCAACATGGGGCTCAGTCTAACAACTGTGTGATCATGACCTGAGCCAAAATCAAGAGTCTGATGCTTAACTGACTAAACCAACCAGGTACCCCAATTTTTGCTTTTAAAATGGTGTACAGGCAGGTGCCTGGGTAGCTCAGTCTGTTAAATTTCGGACACTTTGATTTCGGCTGAGGTCATGATCTCACCATTTATGAGTTTGAGCCCCACATCAGGCTCTGCATTGACAGCACAGAGCCTGCTTGGGATTTTCTCTCTCTCTCCCTCTCCCTCTCTGCCCCTCCCCTGCTTACTCATACACACTCTCACTGCCCCTTCCTCACTCACGCGTACTCTCTCTCTCTCAAAATAAATAAATAAATTTAAAATTTTTTCAAATATAGAGGCGCCTGGGTAGCTTAGTCGGTTGGGCGGCTGACTCAGCTCAGGTCATGGTCTCATGGTTTGAGGATTCATGCCCCATGTCAGGCTCTGTGCTGACAGCTCAGAGCCTGGAGCCTGCTTCGGATTCTGTGTCCCCCTATCTCTCTGACCTTCCCCCACTAGCACTCTGTCTCTCTCTCTCTCAAAAAATAAACATTAACAAAATAAATAAATTTAAAAAAATAAACTTTTCAAAAATAAAATAAAATAAAATAAATAAAAATAAAATGGTGTGTAGGGACTGAGAACCTATGGGAGTCAAGCAGTAAGAGAAGACTTCACATGGATGAGCAGCAGAATATCTGTTATGAGACATTAGTTCACATTAATTTCAATCAGTTTAATTGCCAGTGCACCTCGGTAGAACAACTGGAAAAGAATGTTAGAATATTAAGAGTTGAAAAGACTCAGAGCTCCTTTATTTACATATGATCTTCCCCAAGGTCACAAAACTGGCTGGTAGAATCCAGCTCCCTTAACTTCATTTTATCACATGATATATTTGAACACCCTGATTTAGGTATTAGTGCCTCTCCCTACCCCTTTCCTTTGTCTGCCAAATGATTTTGAGACAATGCTTTAGAGAAATGAGAGACAATTTTACATTACACAACACAAAACTGGGTTAAAATCCTCACTTAGGTGGTGGTATTTACTCTCTTAAACTCTTTCTGAATTTCTAAGGCAATCTTCTTTAGAATGACCAACTATAACCTCCCATCCCTCCTTTCCAAAGAAAAACAATTCTGTATCAATCATTCAACTACCTACAATATCTTTCTACTTCAGATGTTATATTTTTTGGGCCCAACTCAGTTCCTTCACTTTCTTCCTTCCTAAAGAGAGATCCTTCTTAGCTTTTCCTGATTTCTGGCACTGAGTACATGGAAGGCATTCGACTAATATTTATTGAATTTAATTGCTCTTCCTTATACTCTTTAAATTTTTTGTTTAATGTTTATTCATTTTTGAGAGAGAGAAAGAGTGCAAGCAGGAAAGGGGCAGAGAGGGAGACGCAGAATCCGAAGCAGGCTCCAGGCTCCAAGCTGTCAATACGTATACTGATGCAGGGCTCAAACCCATCAACCGCTAGATCATGACCTGAGCCAAAGTCGGACACTTAACTGACTGAGCCACCCAGTTACCCCGCTTCCTTATACTCTTAAAATGTTATAATGGCTTTTGGTAAGGTTCTCTACTTACTATTAGTTTTTTATTGTTTATTTATTTTTGAGAGAGAGAAAGAGAGAGAGCAGACACACATGAGCAGGGGAGGGGCAGAGAAAGAGGGAGACCCAGAATCCAAAGCAGGCTCCAGGCTCAGAGCTGTCAGCACACAGCCCAACGTGGGGCTTGAACCCATGAACTGTGAGATCATGACCTGAGCCAATGTCTGATGCTTAACCAACTGAGCCACCCAGGCACCTCTATGGTCCTCTCGACTTAAAAACAGTCTGACAGTCCTGTCATCTGAAATAAATTTATCCAATGTTCTCCAAATTCAACACGTGACTAATGGAACATTCTTCTTCCCTACTCCTTCTCAAAAACAGGAATGAGAAAGATTTCAAACAAACTCACTGTCATTAAAAAAAAAAAAAAAAAAAGCAAATATTAGTCGTGTCAAGATCCAAATGTACAGATCCAGGACACAGTGAGACAGCCTACAAAATTATTCCATCATGAGCCACATATAATCTTCACACCATACTTCTAAAGTGTTTCCAGAAATATTTAGTATATATAACCTACATAATTTTAGGGTTAGCTTGTAAATGTACTATGAATAAAAACACATCCAAATCCACACTACTGATACTGCCAAATTTAAGAGGAACATCGCCTAAATTCTTGCCTGTGCCTTTCTGATCCTTTTAATTTTTTTCACAGCATTTTTCAACAGCACTAATGAAGTAAAAAAAGACATGTGGTATAGCCTAACACTGTAATAACGCTAAATATAAAAATAAAGCACACACCAAAGTCAAGCCCAAAGCACCTAAAATGGATATAATGTTGGTATCTACATGCATTTATAAACATCAATCTTTTCAGGAACTAGGAAGAGGGAAGAAAAATATTTCTAACATAACTTCAATAATGCCTTTGTTTACCTTACAAAACCTGGTTACAGAAACTTATATGATCAATAACACGGACATCTGATAGTCCAAGAATCAAAGCTACAGAAGAGTCTATTAAAATTATGGTGCTGTGCTTCTAACGGGGGGCCGAAAAATCACATCCACATGTACTCTCAGGGAACTCAAACAAGGAATTGGTGAGGGGATGGGTACATATAGATAGCTTTTTAAAGGGACTCCTGGGTGGCTCAGTCAGTTAAGCAATCGACTCTTGATTTCAGCTCAGGTCATGATCTCATGGTACATGGATTCATGCATCAGGGTGCAGAGCCTGTTTGGGATTCTCTCTCTGCCCCTCTCCCACTCACGTTCTCTCAAACTTAAAAAAAAACAAACAATATTTTTCTAAGAATTTAAAAACATTTTAAAAAAACTTTTCTTTATCTCTTCAACTATACCTATTGTTTTCTTTAATTTTTTTTTCAACGTTTATTTATTTTTGGGACAGAGAGAGACAGAGCATGAACAGGGGAGGGGCAGAGAGAGAGGGAGACACAGAATCGGAAACAGGCTCCAGGCTCTGAGCCATCAGCCCAGAGCCCGACGCGGGGCTCGAACTCACGGACCGCGAGATCGTGACCTGGCTGAAGTCGGACGCTTAACCGACTGCGCCACCCAGGCACCCCTATACCTATTGTTTTCAAATAAATGTTCTTATATTACTTTATAAATACTTTAATTAAAAATTCAATTCCTGCACAGCATTATACATATCAAAAAATTTCACTGTCATCATTAAAAAACAAACAAACAACAAAAAAAGAAAACAAAGCCAAAGTTTTATATTTTTACCTGGTCTTGGTACTGGCTGTGCTGCAGGAGTCTGGGTCTTACGGGCTGATGCACCCTCCTTTAAAAGAATAAAAATTGACACATGATGCCAGAGTTCCTTTACATAATAAACACTTTCATTTAATTACTGTGAAGAAATTCCATATTTAGCTCTCATTCAGTCAGCCCCTCTACTGACCATGCTATGATCCCAAGCATTAAAAAACAAAACAAAACCAAAAAAAACCCCTTATTTATCTTTTATGTTATTGGTCTTGAAGCAGTAATAGGAATCTTGGTAGAAAATAAATTTAAACTGTTCATTACCACACAGTAGTTACCATAAGCACATAATATTTTTCTAATACTCAATGATTTGCTTAATTGTTGACAATTTTAATATTCTCAGAAGTATCATTATCCATTTTAAAATCAAGTCAATCTTTTTTCCATTGAACAATTTCAAAATAAATAAATGATACATAATCTCACACTAGAAAGATGTAAGTAATGTTACTTTGGAACACATTAAAAAAACCCACAAACATTTCAAATTAAATGCCTTTAAAATATTCAGGGAAAACAATCACATTTATAAAGATGAGATTTGTTACATTTAAGATCTGTTATGTTTATATAATCAGGAACAAATGCCTCTGAAATGTTTAAGATCTTAAAAAGCTATCTATACTGTACAGTTTACTATCTTTACAATTTCAATCATATTCACACCAAACTTTTCATTACAACATTTTTTTCCTTTTCTCTCTCTCTTTTTTAAGTAAGCTTCACGCTCAGTGCAGATCACAACATGGGGCCCAAACTCACAACCCTGAGATGAAGATCTGAGCTGAGATCAAGAGTTGGAGGCTTAACCAAATGAGCCACCCAGCCAACCCTTCATTGTAACATTAAAAAACATTTTTTTTAATGTTTACTTATTTTTGAGAGAGCTAGAGTCGAGCGAGGAGAGGCCGAGAGAGGGAGACACAGAATCCAAAGCAGGCTCCAGGCTCTGAGCTGTCAGCACAAAGCCTGACACAGGGCTCGAACCCACGAACTGTGAGATCATGACCTGAGCCGAAGTTGGACACTTAACCTACGGAGCCACCCAAGTGCCCCTATAACATTTTTAACAGAAAGCTACAAATGTAAATTTCAAAACAACTAGTAATTTATGGAAATCTTACTCTAGTTGTACTCAAACCGAATGAAATTTGATAACTAGCAGGGAATTTACATAAATACATAATAGAAAGCAGTTTTAGAATCACAGAAGTATTTCTAAAGAAATACTCCTAATTAATATTAATTTTAACCATAATACATTCTCTTCAAAACTTAAAGATTTTACATAGTAAAATCATTTGGAATGGTAGACTATTATCACAGGGTTTTTTTTTAATAAACTAAATCAATTAAAGAGATTTTAGCTTTCCATACCATTGTTCCTGCCTAAAGAGGAATAAACTAGATATTATATAATAAACATGAAACTAAAGTAAATGTTATCCATATTACTTAGAAACCCTTATATGAAAATGCTGATTCATGGAGTGAGGTTTGAATACCCACAGAAACAGAGAAAAAATAAATGAGACGGGAAGAAAGATAATGAGCACACACATATGCAGACATCTTTCTGTCTACATTTGACTATAAGGCTGGCTGGATCCAAATCAAAGCTCTCTTTTTTTTGAACAGAGTAGATGAAGTTCAGAATCACTAGAACACAGCACTAGGTTCAAACTGAGAACTATCCAAACCAAAACTAATTCAGCTGACTACTAAAATATACTTACACTATATGACCAGCTATGGCTATTATAACATGGGTCAGCAAAAAGTACAAGCAGGTATGAATACTATGGGAAAAAAAGTATTATCCATTACAAATCATAACCCCTAACTAAGTATTTTTATCTACTTTTGAGAAAACTTAAAACTGGGACCCCTTTAAATGACAAAAATGGGTATTTTCTGTTTGCAAAGTAAGCTATCATTGTTTGATGACCTTCTCCTTCTCCAAATTACTCCTTTTTGGCAATAAGCCTTTTAGGTTACTGGGGGAGGCATATGTCCTACGCCAAGTCAATCAAGAGTTCTCCCTCAGGATCTGTTTTACAAATTAGAACTAGCAAGTTATACCTCTAGTTGTATACAAGGCTACAAGGCAGTAAACTAAAAATTACAGATGATCCTACCTTTTGACTCATGGGGGAACACCCATCTATGAGGGACAGAATGACACTAGTATGCAAAAAAAAAAAAAAAAAAAAAGGTGGAATATGACATCCCTTATAAAACCTATCTAGTTAAAATAGCCTGCAAGGCCTATTCTCCCCCTACCTCTTCTCGATTATGTGAACCTTTACAATTCTTCATCTCACCACTCTATGCAATTCTACACACATCTTACCTCAGTTAGTTGAGCAGTTTGTTAGTTGCAACTGAAAAGAGTTTTATCCAATTTTGTCTTCTCAGATGTACTGAAAATTTTGAGTTGCCAAAATCATTATAACACTGCTTAAGTTTGGAGTTAGTAAACACAAATAAGTGTAAGCATAAGTGCAAGCACACATTCACACATTTTCTCTCTCACACCCACTGTGTATACACAGCTATAAACCTACTAAATAGGAGACTATGGGCTCCATGAAAGAAAAGAGGGAAGAAATCTTTGCTAATCATGTCATTAGTTTATGGCTGTTTTAGGGCTCCCTAGCCAACACTAAGAGCTAAAAGTTCATTCCACTCTGATCTGCACTCTTTTGAAATAAAATTATAGAACTCATTGCATTAAGAACCTCATAAACCATATAAAAACCACCACCCTTTACTCTAAAGATGAAGAGACAGAGGTGAAGTTTTCCAAAGACTACAAAGTGGTATATCTGGCATACATTAAGAAACAGGAATAATAATTTGGCAGTAATATGCAAGAGACTGACACTTCTACATTTTTAAAGATATTTGGATTGGGGGAAAAATAATACCCATCTGGGAAAATAAAGTATCAGCAAAAAAAAAAACAACTAAAAGAGCTGACAAATTATGCTAACTGGAGAGGAAAACTTGCTTTCTCTTGAAAAGTCAGAACCATTACCATTTCTACTCAGACTTGAGGCATTTCAGAAAAGAAATAACTGATAAAGAATGGAGTGGGGTGACAGAGAAGTGATAGAATCATTTTTGCAAAACACAACAAGACAAGAGAGTATACTGTTTATAATCCTTACTTGCCTTATTTTAGCAAGTGAGAAAAATCTAAAAATCTTCCGTTACTGGGAGACAGAATATTGGCTGCTGCTTAAACAAGTAGGAAATAATATAATATGTACTATCCTAAGAAAAATATGTGTAACAATTGTCAGTATGAAAAAGAATACATTATATTTACTCAATTTGGGAAAATGCTATTTACATGCAACTTCATGAAATACTGAAATTCTAAACGAAGAATACACAGAGAATATATACGCAGACTCTACAAGTTTATAATCTACCCTCCTGACTACTGTATTTATGATGGCAAAAGTACACTGAGTGAGTCCTTTAAAAAAAAGTATTTTGGAAAAGCTATGTACAAAAAGAAAACTGTATCTCTATAGACAAATGACAATGAGGCTGAAAACATAAAAGATTTCAAGAACAAAACACAAATTATAAGCACAATTCTCTTTCTAAATCCTACTATAACCCAGAAGTATATGCATACAATGTATGCCAACGTGGAAAATAGAAAACCCATTCCTAAAATATATTATATCTATAAAACATATAGATTTGATACCTATTATCAATTCTTCATTTTGCTCTAGAATTCTTTACTTACTTGTCTATTTCTCTCAACCAGAATGTAAGCTATCTTAGGTCAGGGACTGTCTATTATGCCTCCAATGCCTATTCCAGGTTGCCTGGTGCATGGTACATCCTTAAAACTATACATCAACTAATTAAAACAATTCCATTTGCCTTAGAACTACTGACTCACAACTATTAAACTGTTTTAATCTGTTAAATAAAAGTGGTAGAAATATCATAAAGGATTATTGAGAGAATTAAACAACATTAATTGTTGTTTATTCATTCCATACACATTGTCATTCCATACACATTTATCAAGAGCACTGAGTACCAAATAAAAAACTGGGAATGCATCAGTATAAACAAAAGCAAGTATTTCTTCCTGCCTTCATGAAGTTTTGCAATCTAATGGAAGAGACCAGTGAAGGAATGAAAGTTCAAAAATTATAAATATAATTACATATACATTTACTTACTTGTAATATATATGTGTATTTTCTATTAATGTGTATGTGTATATATCTATATGTGTATGTTCAGCTCAGTTCCCAAAATAAAGAGCAACTAATAATTATTAAACCAACTTCTTTCCATAAAGAAACATTCTTTATAAGAAAAGAAGTGGAAAACCAAATTCAGCAGCATACTAAATTCAGTAGCATATTAAAAAGATTATATACCATGACCGAGTGGCACAGATTCCTGGAATGCAAGGATGGTTCAACATGAAACTCAACAGATACAATATATCACATTAACAGAATGAAGGGAAAATACATGATCACTTCAACTGATGCAGAAAGAGCATTTGACAATTTAATACCCTTTCATGATTTAAAAACAATACATACCCACCTTAACAAACTAGGAGAGAAAGTAAACTTCAATATAATAAAAACTTAAGCATGAAACATCCAAGCACCTAACATCATACTCAGTGGTGAAAGATGGACACCTTTTCCCTTAATATCAGGAACAATATGTCCACTCTGACCACTTCTATTCAACATAGCATCTGAAATTCTAGCCAGAGCAATTAAGAGGAAGGAAGGAAGGAAGGAAGGAAGGAAGGAAGGAAGGAAGGAAGGAAGGAAGGAAGGAAGGAAGGAAGGAAAGGAGGGAGGAAGAAGGGAGTAAAAGGCATCCAAATTCAAAAGGAAGTGATAAACTTATCTTTTTGCAGATGACAAGATTTGTATGTAGAAAACCTAAATATTCCACAAAACCTGTTACAACTAATAAATGAATTCAACAAAACTGCAGGATACAAAA